GTACCAAGATGCTGGATCCAACTGATGCGTGGAAGGTTATAAGAGCTGTAAGAGCCCCCCCCCCACAAAAAAAAGATTTAAATAAATAAGAATAAATTCAAAAACAAATCCTGAATGATTTACCAAAGCTTCAGGTACATCACAATGGACAAGGTGACCCTGTTGCTTTGACCCTCGCTGTCTCTGAGGCTCTGAGTTCTCATCCGACTAGTGGCCTTCTACCCGCTGCTCAGGGTGCAGGAAGTGTTGCAATGAAAGGCAGAGAAGCTAACGGGCAGGATGGGGCCCCTACCTGAGGGGTTTTCTTGCAGGCTTATTCCTTGTTATTAAGGAACCTTCGCAGTTCAGCCCACTAGCCGCTCCCTGGGAGAAAGACAAGGCACTCTGCTCCTGGGAAGAGGTCAGGCGGCCGAGTCAGCTCCGACTCATGTGACCCCGCGGATCACAAAGACACAGCCCGGGCCTACCTCATCCTCACAATCACCATTCAGCGTGAGCCTGTTGTGGCAGCCACTGCGTCCATCCATCTCATCGAGGGCCGGCCCCTCTTTCGCTGCCCCTCACTTTACCAGGGATGGTGTCCTTCTCCACGGACTGGTCTCTCACCTGTGCAAAGAGCGTGAGACGGCGAGGTCTCCTCGCCCCCGTTTCCAAGGAGTCGTCTGTCGACGCTGACAGCCCAGGAGCCCACAGGGGGGCCAGTGTGGTCCATTGGGTCGCAATGACCCAGAAGGGCCTGAGTGGCCGTGAGTTTGGGTTTTGGTGTGTGGCGTGTTGGGACTTACTGTCCTATAGGGGCGCTGTGAGTCACAATGGACTTGTAGAACCGCCGTGACCCCACAGGTCAGTGGTTCAGACCCACCAGCTACCCGGAGGGACAAAGATGTGGTCATCTGCTTCCACAAAGGTCGCAGACTGGGAAACCCTCTGAGGCACTTCCATCCTGCCCTGTCCGGTGGCTCTGAGGCCGTGTGTGTGTGTGTGTGTGTGTGTGTGTGTGTGTGTGTG